AGACAGTTTAATAGGAAAAGCAAAAGCCACGCACGCAAGCAAAGCAAAACAAGGCATTCATTCACCCCTTCCCATCGGCAGGCAGGTGTTCAGCCATCTCCAGGAAAGCAGGGCTCCATCACGCCTAACGGTGACTTGGGAAGACAAAACGTTGCCCCCTTCCTTCCTCTTCCCCCAGCTTTATATGCTGAGGATGACATCATATGGCATGGAATATCCCTTTGGTCAGTTGGGGTCAGCTGTCCCAGCTGTGTCCCCTCCCAACTCCTTGTGCACCCCCAGCCTCCTCGCTGGTGGGGTGGGGTGAGAGGCAGAAAAGGCCTTGACTCTGTGTCAGCACTGCTCAGCAGTAACAAAAACATCCCTGTGTTATCAACACTGTTTCCAGCACAAATCCAAAACACAGCCCCATACTAGCTACTATGGAAAAAATTAACTCTATCCCAGCCAAAACCAGCCCACAATGAAACAATGAAGTGTTTCTCAACTGGTTAGTCATTACCTATAAGAATCATAAAAGTTAATCAGCAGGGTCATGAGATATTGATGCTTCTATTACATTTTGCAGCAATGGAAATCGTGCTTAACCTACAGCATGTACATACCTCCACTTAAGTTCAAGTATTTTCTGTCAGTTCTTGAAACACAGACAGAAATAGATTATAAAAGCTTATTTTTTTGTATCGAATACACTTTTTGTATTAATCTCAAGATACAGTTGTAAAAATGTTTTACTTTGAATCAGGGCTGATGAGGTCAAAAGCTGCCAAACATTGTTCTGGTGTTGAGAACTGCATTATAGTTCATACTGTCCATCCTGATTTTGAAACAGCAGCAGGAGTGATAACTTGATTGCCCTCAGCAGTAGGAATTATTTCTATAATACATGTCTTTATTAACAGACTCTGATCAGAGCCTTCAAAATGCTCCTCTTTTCTAGATTGTTAAGACCTGCTCTTTATTAGGATTTGAGTGACATTTCTGACCATTGTGGCACAGCTGTAGGAACATGTCTGGTATGAACTGGTATCCCCAGTGTTAACAACAACTCTGAGGATTTTGATGCTGTCTCAAACCAAAGGCTCCCCAAAATGAGAGACTGGGCTTGATCATTCTCCATCAGTAACCAGTTTCAAATATATACGGAAGATTGTAAGAATGGGGTTATAATCTGTCTAATATATGTGTTATAAGGATGTCCAAGCATATTCCCCCATCTTCTCTTAGCTATCAGCTCAGCCATTTCTTGTGGACCATTGTACTAGTAGATAAGGATGTATGTCTTCTCCCTGAAAGGACATAACTCTTACTGTTTTCAAACATACAATTTTATTTGAATTGTCTGCATGATATAGGACAGCACGTACTACTTACTCAAATTGACTGTATACCACTTTTCAACCCATATTCTACTGGGAATCTTGTATTTGACTTGCCTATGCTTTTCACATGCTTTGAAATCGATAGGAGAAAGGCACCTAGTATCTCTTGATACCTCTGAGTCTGTTTCACAGTAGGAAAACCATAAAAAATTACCTTCAGTGTCTTCCCTGGAGTTATCTATATGAATGACACAACAAGAATAAGACAGCATAGTCCTTTCCTTCAAGTGGCATGCAGTCTCGCTTCGACAGAGTCAAGACTACAAAGGTAAAGAGGGCAGTAGGGGGGTGCACCACCAGCACATGTCTATGGCACTGTTAAGTTTGATGCATTTGCTACATCTTTGTGTTTCTTTTTCTTTTTCTTCAGTTACATTTAAGCTGTTTTCAAGACGCCAGTGGGATTTGTGAGAACAGAAGGGAATAAAAAAAAAGAAAGGGAGAAACCAGCAAAGGCGAAAAGCATTCCAGAAGCAGGATGGGGTGATAAAAAGACAACTAGTATAGTACAATAAAGGGGTAAGGTAACCATAGACCTAGGAGGAAGGCGGTGAGATGGGGAACAGGGCCAGAGGTGACAGGCGAAGGTGAACAGGGGCCGAGCACAACATGCTGGAAGACAGAGCTAGACTGACAATGGCAAGTGTTGGACATGAGTTAAATATGGTGGTTCATGATGATGAGGTGAATTTGGAAAATTAAGTGAAACAAGGACTCCTAACATTTTTTTTACCCTCATCCGTATTTGCAATCACCTTTTGCAGACTGTCTGATATAGTTACCCAGTTTCACTACATATTGAAAATAAACTACGGGGGTTTTGTTTAGTCTGTAACATCATCATTATTCAACCTATTACTCGAAGTAGTTTAATTTCATTCTTATCTGTTTTGACAGCTGAATCTTATCTTCCTGGTGATCACATTGTGCAAAATGGTGAAGCACTCAAACACTTTGAAACCAGACTCTAGCAGGTTGGAAAACATTAAGTAAGTGCTTTGTGTTCAAGTATGAGAACTATGATTATTTTCTGATTGCTGAACTGATTGAAAGCCACTCTCCATTAGGAGCACATGTCATTGTCTCCCAGCAACTGCAGATGTCAATTAGAAGCAAACAGAGCCAATCCTGCTTTCGTCACATTGTTGCTGTAATGTCACAAACGCTGGTCAAAATTAGATAATTTCAGCCTGGAACTAGTGCCAAGAAACTGTTTCACGGAAATGCCACAGCACTGTAGTAATTTCATTTGCATTTAAAATGCAGTTCAAAAATGATGTTCCTGTTTGCATGGCTGATATGATTATATTAAGTTTGTTTTGTTAAATGACTTTTTGATTTAGGGATTCTGAGCAGTTTCTACTCGTAATCCTGTTCTACCAAGGGAATTGACTCTATTATTATTGTTAACTTGAAGATTATCTGCTGTTTTCATGCTAATTTAACAAATGTTTACTTTATCATGGTGCTGTACTGCAGTATCCCTTTTGCAGAGTAATATAAGTGTTATATAATTAACAAGGCTTTGGCAGCTCTTGCTTCTTTAGATAGTCTTTTACTGTATTCTGTATAGCTTTACGTTGTACTGAAGGTTTTTGTTACCAAGACTGACGGGATGGTGCAACTTTCTAACACTGAGGGTTGGATGTGAAAGGGTCTACAGATTTGCTCTGAATGTTGAAAATGGCAAAGGGAGATTTTTAGCAAGGCTAACATTGTGAACTAGATGTTCTAGATAGGTCAGTATCAGCTTCATTGCATGTTGCATGATGAGAGAGAGAGCTAATCTTTAGCATCTCTCTCTTTTCTTCCTTTTCCTCTTTCTGTCTTCTCATCCACACCAGTAATTACCGTGTTTGTGATGGCTACTATAATACGGACTTACCTGGGTAAGATAGAACCCTACATTAACAAATTTCTAGCATGATTTTTAACTTTACAAACTCGGTCAATATTGTGGATTTCCCTTAATTTTAATTAACTACTTTTGAGATACCTGATTTGCTAAAGAATTTTTAACTATTATATGCCTTTATAATTTTAAATTGCTTGCCTCTGCATTTTGAATTTCCTAATTTTGACTAATTTTTATAGACAATTAAAAATGCTCTTATTAATTTCTGTTTCAATTCTGTCTAATAATTTTGTTTCTCTTTTCTGCTTATAATGCTTTCTAGCTATGAAGATAATAAGCCATTTATCAAGTAAGATCATTAGTTAGATGTGGAATTCACTGACTAAATTCCCTTTCCCTTTCATTCTGTGCCGTTCTCTACAATTCCTTTTCCTTAACCTATTCATGATGGAATCTTTTTTAGACTATTCTGTAGAGCAATATCCATATTTTTGTCACATTTCAGCAGGGTTTCTTCATGCGGAAGTTACATCATCTAGCTTCAGTTTAGCTGAGTTTATCGGAGCATTAAAGATTTGGGCTCTAGGCTTTTAATCTGCTGTTTAACCTTTGTGCACTTGTGTTACATTATTTGGTGTCATATGGCAGCACCACTGTTTAAAATCTATGGTGTGATTAGTGGCTAAGCCAGATTTATCACTCTTTTGTAGAAGCAGATAAAGCAATGGAGTAGCTGGGGCTTGCGCTATACTTATGCATTTCAAAATAGTTTTGATATCCTATGCAGTTCTTGAGAAAGAAAAAGGTCATATCTACTCTTGCTGTTTTCACTGGAGACTAAGAGTACCAAATGGAATTGTTCTTTCTTTAATAGATAAAAGGTTAAACCCAAGGAATTTTTACATTTGAAAATGAACCTAGTAAAAGTCAACTGCAGGAACTGAAATGTTGCTATTGGATTTGGCGACCTGCATTCTCACAAGTAATGTTGCTAAAATTAATTTTCTTTTACAGATCCTGGGTCCTGGGTGCATTTGCTCTCCTGTGTCTCCTTGGCCTAACATGGTCATTTGGCCTGCTGTTTATCAATGAGGGGACTGTTGTGATGACGTACCTCTTCACAGTATTTAATGCTTTCCAAGGAATGTTTATTTTCATCTTTCATTGTGCGCTTCAAAAGAAAGTAAGTTACTGAAAACACAGATGTGTGTTCCCTAACTCCTTGAAAATATCACATATATTTCTTAAAAAATAGAGAAAAAAAATAACAATGTCAAGACCTGGAGTATTTTGAAGTAGTTTGAGGAGGGGACTAGGATCCAAAAGCAATTCTTGCTCTGTGTGTTTGTGGGAGTCACGTAACTGTTCTGTGGCCTGGGCGGGTTTAAAATGGATGCAGCATTTCCAACCTGGGCTTGGAAAGTTTTGAGACTTCGGGAAGAAAATTACTATAGAAAATGTACTGTTTATCATTGATAATGTGGTACGTATTAGTCTGGACTTACAGCCAAAAGTCCTTTATGTGCACATGAAACAAATCCTGCCTTCGCTGCAGCACTGCAAACAAAGGATCATTTACAATATCAAGCCCATCTCAGCCTGGAAACTCTCTCTCTTTCTCACATCAAGGCAGAGGACCTCTCCTGAGATCCCATTAAGCTGCCACATAAAGCTACGGGCGTTAGGCAAGGATTGTACTATAAGTGCTCGTTCATTACAAAATTAAGCGAGACCTAAAAATTAATTCTATTATGAACTTCAATGCACTTTAGAAAAAAGTAGTCATTCATGCTAGACAACTGCTAACAGGGAGAGTTTTCCAAAGGTGCCAGCATGAATACTTTTTTTCCAAGTGTTTGCCTCCCCCAGCAATCCAACAGCTTCATGCTCTTAACTGGAAAAACTGGAATCCCCTGGTAAGAGCCTTCCCTCATGAGTGGGATGTGCTAAATTAGTTCTGCTCCCCTTCGCCCGATGGGAGCAGAGGGGTCCAGAAGGAGCAGATCTGCTGGGGAGAGGGAAAGCTTGCATGGGAGAGAGGAGCAAGCGGGAGAGAAGGAAGTGAAGGGCACAGCCGGGTGGGATTCTCTTCGGGTTCCCTGCACCCCTCCTCTTCCCCAGACTGAGGGTAGAGACTGCTTTCAAGGATGCCTTAGAGGTGCTTTAGTGTAGAACAAAAGAAAAAAACCTCATAGCCTGTGTTAGAAGGCGTAGCAAATGAAAGTAATGAGAGCTGAAAGGAAAAGTCAAAAAATCCCACCCAAAAAAACTTAACATAAAATGCAATACATCCTGCATTTGGAAATACCCAATTTGCAATATTTAGATATTTAGATTCTAAATACTTTCACCAGTTTCAGGCTGGAGACCTAGCAATTATTAACCCCCATTATAATTAGCTAACCAGAGATATAATTAACTGATACTTATAAAATGGTTTGAGAACATTGGGTAAAGCGTGGCCATGTAAGTACAAAAATCACAACTGTACCAACCCTAACAGTATCAGCATCTCTAAATTTGGTGTAGACAATGGCATTCAGCCATGTTTTAGGAAAAGATCTGGTAGACAGAAAGAATTTTATCCAGATGAAAACGGCACTCCTCTCATTTTGAGAGAACAAAAGCACACTTAGAGAGGAGATTGAGCCTAAGAAAAGAAGAGAGGGAAGAAAATGCAAACATTCTCAAAATGCAAATAATTTCTAGATTAGGGTTTCATATAATGTTGCCCTTTCTACCATTTGTATTGGACTTCAAAATCAAAAACAGATTCCTTTTTTATTTCTTTTTACAGCTGTGCATTGTTTTTATATTAAGTGGAGTCAGCAAAAAGCAATATTAAAATACCATTCAAGTGTGAAAAAGCATAACCTAGAGCAATAAGGTTTATACCTGAAAGAATGTTAAAGCTGCCATTTAAGATTTTTAAGTTTCCATGCCTTTGACTGGATATCATCCTGTCCTCTGTCTGCATAGCTAATGCAGTCTTTTTATTCCGTTATTACTAGTTGGTCACTAAATTGAACAGAGAAATAGAATTGTGAAAGTGAAAACTATTACGTTTCCAGTTCTGACAGGGTGATAGTGCTGTTGCTTCCATCAGTTTCCAACAAGCTATAATTTAGAAATAATGACAGTGGAATGCGCAGTACTGACAGATAATGTACATTCACTGCAATATAGGCATTAGGCAAAACCAGCCCTGGAGGGTGGTATTTGGGTAAAAATACAGTTCTGATTGCTATTGTCTCTACTATGTAGTGGTTTGGAGCATTTAATATCCATTAGTGGTCAGGAATGTATTTTCTTAGGTGTTATACCATCCTAGTGATGATATATATAGACTTACGTTTTTCAGACTACAGAGTTAAAGATTATAATTCTATGTCCGTGCATTCCTGTTTTCTTTTTTTTTGTGTGTCTTTTGTGCTGATATAGATAGGGGTTCACTTAGAATATGTACCATATACTTTTATAAAAAGATGAGTTATTGTCCCTAGCTTGAAGTTAAGGCACTTACTATTCAAATTTTCTTCATCCTTGAGGTTTATAGAAACATCACAGTTTATTCCATGAGTAAAACTCTCGTAATATCGAAGACAGCACATGGCATATGTAAATCCACATTATTAACTCTTTGCATTTTCCCCTCTTCCCTTTTTACATACCCATAGCTTCCTTTCTGTCCTATATATATTCATAGGTCAAGCAGAACTTCCGGATTAGCTGAAATCCCACTTTTCCCAGAAACTTAGGAGTCTTATTGATGTAGAAGTGACACTTAGATTCCCAAGTATCTGGTGGAAGATTTACGAATTTAGACTTGTGCATCTTTAAAAATTTTATCCCGTGTCCTTTCACTGATGCTGTCACGTTGCCGAGATGCGTGTGCATTCTTCTGTTACCTGAAGGTACTAGTCAGTGTAGCAGTCACCGAATATGAGAGAACTAACTGCTCTGAAAATTAGTCCTGATTACTTTCATGACAGATGTTAACACACATAAATTACAAAACTAAAGTTTCCAGTAGGTCACTGGAAACAGAAGGTGAATAAATGCAGGCCAAATACTGGAATCATTAATTAGTTTTGTTGCTCTGTCAGACAGAAATCTCACGTACATAGGTGTATTCAGATTTCTAGGTTCAGCAAAGACAGTAATGAGGATTTTATTTTTTGGTCCTAAAAGTGAAAGATGCTTCATTTCCCAGCCTTTATGGTTCAAAATTTGGCTCTGAAACACTGACGGTGCCTCCACCAGCGTAGCTGGTGCTCTGCCCGGAGCCGGGCAGGGGCGTCTGTGAGCTTCGTGCAATCCCGAAGCGGGTGTGACCATATCAACTAGCAGCTGTGTGAGTAACAGAGTAACTTAATATGAAGATGCCTTTATAGTCATGGCAGGTTTTGCACACTGTCTTGGAAGGGATAACTTAATGGGCAGTACCAAGCAGTGCAAAGGCTAGTTACCTCAGCCCTTCTTGCGTGCTAAGATGGGAAGATAGGCTTTCTATGGTTCTGCACCAAAAGCTCATATAAAAAAAGGACTGTTTGCAGCCAGCATTCAATTCAGGTGAACTTAGCTATATTAATCTACAGTATGAAGATGAAATAAAAATAATCCCGTAAATAACTCAGTAATGATTATTCAGGCACATCTAAATGAAGCGCATGTAGACTTTGGAAATAATTTGTTCAAAAATCCTGGATAGCTGATAACGCTGCTGCTAAGTAGGGAAAAATACCTGATTTTGCTAATGGCCAACAATTCAATAGACAAGAATCATCTATTTGCTTGAAAAGTGTGTGAGTAGTTTCAATGCAATGTTCTTGTCTTTCTGCCAGCAGAGATATTTGACACTATTTTTGTGCTAAGTAATTTTCCCCCCCACGTAGGTACGTAAGGAATATGGCAAATGCTTCCGACATTCCTACTGCTGTGGTGGACTACCAACTGAGAGTCCCCACAGTTCAGTGAAGGCATCAACAACAAGAACTAGTGCTCGCTATTCCTCTGGCACTCAGGTAACAAAGATTTTGACAGCATCTTGTAATTAACCTTATTTATAAAAAGCCTACTGAGATGTGTTCCAATCAGAAGCACTAATTGTCTTCTCAGTATTATCATTTAGATGGCAAATACATACTTCTGCATAGTAGAATTGGTTCTTCTTAAACATTTCCTTTTACTTTGGTCTAATGCAAACACCTTAATTAGGGGCTGGTTTATAGGAAGGCTTATGCCACCATGTTTCATCTAAATGAAATTTAATAAATTAGAGTTTTAATAACAACAGAAGGAGTTTCACTCCGTGCTAGATGAATGGCTTACTTCAGGCCGAAATAAACACAAATATTCTACATAATAGCACATAAGTAGGAAAAAATCTTTTTGTAACTTACTATGCTTCTGTCTCACTGCTTTATGTTAACAGAGTCGTATAAGGAGGATGTGGAATGACACTGTGAGAAAACAATCTGAATCGTCTTTTATCTCAGGTGACATCAACAGCACTTCAACACTTAATCAAGGTCAGTCACTGGGAACATTTCAGTTTTAGAAACCTTAAATTTTATACAGATTTTATACCATTTAACACAGAAGAATTGAAAAGAATGTTTTGAAAAAAAATTCTGGAACAAATGTTCTCTAAAAGCAGAGGTTTAAAGTCATCCACCAGCACATTTTAAAACCGTGTTCCCTCAACTGGCCCCCTGCTATAGAAGTTGAATTCCTCCATTTGTGGGAATGTATTTAAATAAGTTTCATCAATAATTTAACTTAAAAGCAAGATCATAATTTTAAATCTTTCCTAACCTTTATAGGTTAAATCTGAAACAGAAATATGAGTGCAGTAACATTTTAATGCATATTTGACTATGATTTTTAGGTGCAGAAATTTTCCCAGTGAAATCTAATTGATATCATTTCTATGCAAAAGATGTCTGTAAAGCATTTATCTTTTCTATTTCAAAGAGCATCGTATCTGTCACATGGGATAGAATCCAGATTTTCAGGCACAGAGAAGCCAAAACTCCAAATTTCTCAGCTCAAATAGACTTTGAAATCTATAACCTCATTCTCACGTCCAGTTAGAAGACAAGGGTATTAACTGAGACAGAATGTCCCTTCCTTTCTGCCCTTCCCCTTGTATTTTTTTAAGGCAGTTTGAGCTAGCAATGGAGGGAATACTGCTCTGTGCAAGCCAAGTTCAAAGCCTGTTCTTCCACCCATATCCCTAGGAGAAGAACACATAGCCCTGATCGCATTGCGACCAGTTCCTGCTCAACTCAGAAAGTTTCAAACAGAAAATTCATCACTGTCAGGGCTGCTGTAAAGCCCTCATCAACCACAACTAGCAAATTTTCCTCCCTTGTTTTTTTCAAGATTTGGTAGTAGGGACATGTGCTTAACTCGCATTTATTGTGGAAGTAAAAAGTGTGGTATTTTGCAAAAGAAAAGGTTTCAGAAAGCATGATTCTATTTTTGCTATTTGGCATAGAGAAAGTGGATAAGACCTCTGTGTCTCACTGCTCCCTCCATCTGAATCTCATATGTTCCTCTGGCAAAATCAAAATTAAGTAACTTCTCCTAAGTAGAAAATGTATATTTTTCATGCCCAAGAAAGAAGTACATTCCCTTCCAGTGTCTTACTAAAACCCCATAAATACGCTATAGATAAAAGTCTGGGATTTCACCCTAATTTGATGTCTCTGACTCCTGAGGTTTGCTCTAACCATGCTGCACCCTCAGTTAATTCAGAGTTGAACAGAGGTCTTGGAAGCTTCTCCCTGTTTTGGAGCTCCAGTCTCAAGTCACGGGAGATGTTCTGCCATGATTAGAAAAATTGATACCATCTTTATTCAATTATAATACTGTCACTATCTCAGTGATACATACGTATAAGGGTAGTTTAGTAATTAGTGGCAAGTGTCATTTTTCCTTTAAAATAAAAATCAAGCTTTTAAAAGTGGCAAAAAATTTTGGCTTGAAAAAAAAATTCTCGTAACTATAAATTACAGGTAATAATTCTAACCAAGATTAAACATAGTACACAAAAGAAAACCCAAGCAAAATATATTTCAGTTAGTATTTCGAGTAATAAGTACATTACAACTGAAAAAACTACAATAAAACCTTTTTAGTTGTTCACTGATACAAACTTTCAACTAAGATTAGCATAATCAGGCAATAATCCTCTGAATCTCAGAATTTTCTGCTCATTTCTGCTACCAAGTATCGATGGTAGTACAAAAGCATTAATATTTGGAATATATACTGTCTTTTCCTTGCCAAATAAAAATATCCATACTATAAAAATATAGCTGGCTCTTTACTTGTCCTTGGGTCTGTAATACATTGATCCTGATATACTGCTGTGCAATGCAACAGAAAAGAAAGGGAAATTTTACCCGAATGAAATGTTTAAAGTAAGTTTTAAATCACAGCATTTTGCGTGGGATTTTTTTGTCATTATTCCAAACCATTTTTCTTCCAGTAATCTCTGGAAATCAGAGATCAATTGACTTTTTAATACTTTCTCAAAATATGCTGATTTTTTTCCTAATTATTCCGAGAGTTGTTTAAATGGTATTGCATTAACATGTAAAATGGGTTTAAAGAAAATCTGTTCTTGTAGTATTTTGCTTCATCTTACATTGTTTGTAAACTGATTGTTTAAAGAAAATTTGTCATTCTTTTTTAAAACCTGGCAGATAAATTTGCAGCATGAATGTCCCAGGAGAAAATGTGAATGCTCTGATTTCTTAGAGCAAATATTTTGCTTTCCCCTCAGCATGCATACTTTTACATATACTAAGATATGCTTCTTGCAGTTTGTCATCCACTGTCTGTTCGAAAACAGCAATTCCCTTCCACTCTCCGTGTGTTTTTAATAAAGTGAATAACAGCTCTGATCCTGTCATAAGAGATTTTTCAATACCTTTCAATTTGAGCAATTCAGTTCTCTCAATTCTGGACAGAAGTGTTCCATATGATCATTTTTAAAGTTATAATAGCTTTATGTAGTACCTTGATCTCTACACATTTAATTGCTATTCTTGTGTAACAGTGATTTTGTATACATTAGTAAATGTCACTCTCACCAGATGTTTACTTTGGGGATTTGGACAGCACCTGTGAATTACTGGAATCTAACTGTATTTTCCTACTCCCGTTTCAAATACATAGCTCAAATAAATTCAGAAATTTTCAGCTGAATTACATTTGACAAGTCCTACATGATTCATGATGAATAAAAAATATTTTTTATTGAAACTGTCAGCCTAAAATTAAAGAACTGACATTTTTTTCTGTTTCTTTTGCTTTAGGAATGACTGGCAATTACCTACTAACAAACCCTCTTCTTCGACCACACGGCACTAACAACCCCTATAACACATTGCTCGCTGAAACAGTTGTATGTAATGCCCCTTCAGCTCCTGTGTTTAACTCACCAGGTGTGCTTATACTTCCTGAATAAAACTGCTTTTCTTGGCTCGCTCCAAATCCCTTCTTTTCCCTAGATAGAAACTCAAGTTGCAATACCCTAGCCATACATTCTGAATTTCTGTCAGTTCGAGAAATACAGTGTTGCCAATGTCAGCTTGTAAAACTGCACTATATTATAGTAATGCCTTTGCCATAACAGTATTTACCAATAATTATCCATGTTTTTAACACAGGTGGCATAAATCTTAATATACTATTACAGGACTGACACCACATGGTCCGAGAGCCCATCTTCAAGATATATATCACTTAGAGGTATCATGTCTATGCAATATAAGGTTGACTCTAAAGCTTGCTGAGAAAAACCTGCTTATGGAACGGATTAGATACTAAAGCAGCGCAAGGCATCTTGACACCTTTGGATACCCCAGTGTAGAAAATTGTATCCAGCGTCAAACAGATCTAAACTATAGTATAGTGCAGCTTTATGGTAGATCATTTTCCTGTAGGAGAATCTTGAGATTAACAGTTAGAACAGTTTAGTTCTGTAGGAATAAAGGGTGTCATCACTTACCTAACATTTTGTTGTTACATTATCTAGTTGCTTTTTTTAACTGCGGTGCAATTCATCAGTAAATATCTAGCAGTTACTGTTTGATGAGTCATAAGATCACTTTAGCATAACTGGAACGCTAAATCTTTGATAAAGAGTTCATAAAACCTTGTTTCCAGTTTTTATTTCAAGTTTCCTTTTTAACTGAACTGTAGTTTCTATTTTCATTCTCTTGTTTTCTTACTTTCCTTATGCTTTCCTCTAGCAACCTACAGAGAGACAAGTATGGGAGTAAAACTTAACTTTGCCTATCAAATGTAAATTTTTTCAGCATGATTTTTAATGGGCACAATTAAAACATAACTAGCGGTCATGAAGTAGACTCAGCGGGCAAGTGGTTCACAATTTGCAAATGAAATGTTTCCACATTCAGAAAGCACTTGCATACTGCTTTTTGGGAAACAACATGAGGTCTGTAGCAAACCCTATCGGTAACAGAAGTTATGCAATGCTGAAATAATTTGCTTTTAAAACCAAAGCAGTGTCAAGCATAAATGCTTAACAATTTGTTTATATTTTTACATTCCCACAGTAATCTTGCTACAGGCTATGGAAAGATTTCGAATGAATTACCTGATCATGGGCAACAAAATTTGCCTCATCAAACCAATTTGAATATATTCTAGCATGCTTAACTCTGCAGTATATCATAGAAAACTCATTTTGGATTATCAGATATATTTTGGTATCTGTTTAGCAGAAGAAAAGAGAATTAAAATTATAGAATTTAATCACTTCCATGAGGAAAATGAATGCCAGCATGTGGTCCATGTGTTGTCTACTTTTATAAATGCCATATGTTCTGCGCAGCTAAATCCATTGCAACAAAAATCTTGGAACATATATGAAATTGCAAAACTACAAAGTTGTTTAATCAAAGCTTAAAGAGACCTTTCAAACAACCCTCATCACTGTTTAAATCAGTACACATGGAGAGGAGTTAACAATAACGCAAATACAAAATGATTTGCAAATTACTCAATTTATTTGGAAATTATTACTCTTTTTTAAAGTTGAAGACAAAAATCTTTTCATGAGAAAATGCAGTTACTTTTTAATTGAAAACAATATTTTCCAGAGAAGATTGAATTTTCTAAGATAAGCTGCAGCTTTAATTATGAAAAAAAAAAAACAAATGGGAGAATGTATAATCTTTTCCAAAACAACTTTTTTCTTATACTCCTCCAAGCCTTGCATATGATGCAGCAGCCTCACAGTGGTCAGTCTCATTTCAGTAAAGTCACTGCATTCTTTCTTTACTTCCAGACATATCTGTAGATAAAGTGATTTTCTAGGAATGCTCTAACCATCTGACTTCTCATGGTTCAGACTGTTTAATTTCTTTCAAAGTTTTTTTTTCTTTTTCTTTTTCCTTTGCTTGGGAAGCACTGTGCTGTCATAGTTTACATGTCTTTGTGTCTATAGGAAAACCTTTTCTTTATCGTGTTACCAAAAAAAAAAAAAAAGCCAAAACCAAAAACATAAAGACCTTAATCATCGTAAGACTTCATTTTTTTTCCCCTGTAAACTTCCTTTCATGTTTCCAGCAGACTTACCCAATCTGTCATTCCTCCAGCAGCTCTGAGATATCAGCCGTGGCTGATTTCCTCTTCCCATTCCACGACTAATATTTATTCTTTGGTTTAATTTCTGTGACCCATACTTACAGAAATTCCTAACATTTCTGCATTTGACTTCCATGCCCATGGTAACTGTGGGCCTAACTCTTAATTAACTATTCTGATTCATTCAGCGCTGTCACTGTGACTGATGCAGACTGCAGGCAAACTTTGACCTTTAGAAGCCTGGGGCCGTTGTTGGCAGACAGAATATTAGTGCAAAAAATTACATTAAGTGGGAAAAGAAAAGCTGTTATTGCTTAGTAATCTAATTTGCTGAACCCTTGCTCTGACTAAGTTGCTGAGAAGCTCAGTAATTCTTCATCATGTTACAATAAATCATTTTACTTTCTTTTATATATCAGCTACTCTTAGGCCAGATAGCCTGAGCAGACAGACATGATGTGAGTTGTCCAAAGTGAGTCATTCCACCTGCTGTCTATCGTGTTGTTGGATGGTGCTTGTGGGCCCTGGTCCCTGTAGTGTGAAAGATGGCTGTCTTTGTTTAACATAAATTCTTTGTATTTATCCATTTTTTTCATTCTTTTCTTTACTTCATCTCAAAAAAAAAAAAAAAAAAGGAAAAAATGTTAGAAATGTTGTTAAAGTAGTTGCTTGCCAGTTATGTGGGTTTATGTTGTACATTTACCTTCAGTTATGTCTGTGATCTAATTCCTTTTTAATTTAGTGTCGTTTAGGACAAATTCTGTTAATTTTCTTTTTCTAAATCATGGTGGTGTACTTCAAAACATAGATGTTTCCAAATGAATTGCTTTGCATTACATATGCAAGGGCATGGAGTGAACAGTTCCTTGTGGAAGAGTCACAGAATTGACATTAAATTAAGAAATTAAAATGCCACAATTCCCCACAGGAAATACACGTTACTATTTTTAAAATGCATCTTTCCTATAAGGTGTGCAACTGTTTACATTTGGGAATGTTCAATAACCTAACTTTTCTCAAGCCCTACTTCCAAGTACAACTTTGTCCTGAACTACATTAAAGAATTTTGTTAAAAAACAAAAAAAAAAGTGATAAAAAGCACATCAGGCAATAACCAGAGCTGTCCTTTTCCATTTCAGGACATTCACTGAACAATGCCAGGGATACAAGTGCCATGGATACTCTACCGCTAAATGGTAATTTCAACAACAGCTACTCATTGCGCAACGGAGACTATAACGACAGTGTGCAAGTTGTAGACTGTGGACTAAGCCTGAATGATACTGCTTTTGAGAAAATGATCATTTCAGAATTAGTGCACAACAACCTACGGGGCAGCAGCAAGAACCACAACCTGGAGCGCACGCTACCAGCCAAAGCCGTGATCGGCGGGAGCAGTAGCGAAGATGACGCCATTGTGGCAGACGCCTCATCTTTGATGCACAGTGACACCCCTGGGCTGGAGCTCCACCACAAAGAGCTTGAGGCCCCACTCATTCCTCAGCGGACTCATTCCCTTCTGTACCAGCCCCAGAAGAAAGTGAAGACCGAGGGAACCGACAGCTATGTCTCACAGCTGACAGCCGAGGCTGACGACCACCTCCAGTCCCCCAACAGAGACTCTCTTTACACGAGCATGCCCAATCTCAGAGACTCTCCGTATCCAGAGAGCAGCCCCGACGTTGAAGAAGATCTGTCTCCCTCCAGGAGGAGTGAAAATGAGGACATTTACTACAAGAGCATGCCAAACCTAGGAGCTGGCCATCAGCTTCAGATGTACTATCAAATCAGCAGGGGTAATAGCGACGGCTATATAATTCCCATTAACAAGGAAGGATGTATTCCAGAAGGGGATGTTAGAGAAGGACAAATGCAACTAGTGACAAGCCTTTAATAGTGTAGCAAAGAAATATTAAAGGTCACGTACAAGTATTAAAAAGACTTAATTGGCCCCATGCAGGCTCCCTCATACCTGCTTGAAGAGACAATTCTGTTGACCCTGTGGTTCTCCAGTAACGGGGATGACTGGACCTCACAGTTCTGTGAATTTTTATAAAACAAAAACTTTGTATATACACAGAGTATACTAAAATGAATTATTTGTTACAAAGAAAAGGAATACCGACAAGGTATTTTAAGATATCTTCTGCTGCTGAATTTAACAAAATTGTGAAAAAAAGAGAAATAAACACTTCCCAGCCATTTTACTGCAGCAGTTTGTGAACTAAATTTGTAAATATGGCTGCACCATTTTTTTTCCTAGGCCTACATTGTATTATATACAAGACGTAGGCTCTAAAATCCTGTGGGACAAATTTACTGTACCTTACTATTCCTGACAAGACTTGCAAAAGCAGGAGAGATATTCTGCATCAGTTTGCAGTTCACTGCAAATCTTTTCCATTAGGGCAAAGATTGAATACATGTCTAACCACTAGCAATCAAGCCACAGGCCTTATTTCATATATTTCCTCAACTGTACAATGAACCGTTCTCATGAAAAAATGGCTAAAGAAATTATATTTTGTTCTATTGCTAGGGTAAAATAAACACATTTGTGTCCAACTGAATATAATTGTCATTAAAAAATAATTTTAAAGAGGTTGAAGAAAATATTGTGAAAAGCTCTTGGTTGCACATATGTTATAAGCTGTTTTTCTTACATTCTGTTCATAGTACGGTAGTATGTTTAAAATGCAAGTTCTACCCGTTTTCACTTATTTTTCACTAAACAGTGTTCTGCTTTGACAAGTTAGTTTTTATTCTTACGTTTTGAATTTTTATTGCCAAAAAACATAATTTGGGGAGAAGATTGTTTTAGAAGCCAATTACGCCAAGCCTTGCACAAATTTGGTATAGCTAACAAAGATTGTAACTCAATTCCCTGTTCATTCTTTAATCAGGGTTGGGTGGTAAGGGGTAAAGGGGACACTGGACACTTCTCACAAGCTTTCTCGTGAATAAAAGGTGCCTGTCCTTTAAAAAAATAAATAAAACATAACTATTACTCTTCCATATTCCTTCTGCCTATATTTAGTAATTAATTTATTTTATGATAAAAATCTAATGAAATGTAAATTGTTTCAACAAAATTCTGCTTTTTTCATCCCTTTGTGTAAACCTGTTGATAATGAGCCCATCACTAATATCCAGTGTAAAGTTTAACACCTGTTTGACAGTAAATAAATGTGAATTTTTTTCCAAATAGGTAAAATGTGCATTATTATGTACGAAGCATAGTTGGCACCAGCAGCCCTTCGACCCGGCTGTATCCTGCTTAGAATGGCTTCTTTACGTTTCATGATTTAAGTGTCGAGAATACAATAGAAACTGTCTACATAGCTCTACAGAAAAAAGGTCATCTTTACTATTCATTACTCTAGTCACAATTGAATAGGATAAAACTCAGACATAGCAGGGTCATTAGGAAAATGTACTGTAATTTCATATATTTACATAACTTTTAAGTAGGCATCTGTACTGAAATTAAAAATAAGGTGGTAAACACCACTATCATATTCTCAGCAACAGTAATTAGCAGTTAATTATTAGTGATGAAGATACATTGTTGCAGTGGGGAAAACATTAATAAGCAGCATTTGGATAGCACTCCAAGTGCTATCCAAATAATTAATCCATCATGGCACTGTTTTGAGTTAGATAAATAAGCTTGACTGGCCCCATTTTTATCAGACTAAAGAACTGCAGAAGGCAGCTGATGCCCAAGATGTTATCGACAAAGCAGTGGCAAAATTGGAAGTCTGGAGTCTTTGTTTTCTTGATTCCCAATCCTCTTTTGTCCCTCTCAGCCAGGGCCCTTCAAAGATAACGCCAAGGACTTCATTTGTCACAGCTTCCAAAATTGTGTTCTCCCAAGTAACTCTAAAGTTAATGCCCCGTCATCACAGAGGCCACAGTTTCGTGTGTGGCCACTGTGACTGTATGTATGAGAACAGCAAAATTTCATTTGAAAGCTGTATCAGTTCTGTTACCTTCTAATGCATTGGAATATATAAAGACCATTCGGAAAATAAATCGATGCATTTTGAAAAAGCTTGGATTTCAGAAGAATATTTTGGGCAAGACTTCCTGCTGTTGAGACAATGCAAACTCTGTAAAAAAAATAAAATAATCCAGGTTGAGGTGGAACCGTGGGGTTCAGGTAACCTCGATATATCTGTAGTTGGGACTGTGACACCGTAGCAATTGTTCTTGAAGAAAAAGGCATCTTCACCATCGACCCTACTGGTAACTCTTGCCAGTATGTTCCTTAACACTTAAAAGTTGTTATGTTTACAGTAGAGTCACTGGAACATTTAAACTTTAATCAGAAACTGTTTACTTCTGTTTAGTAGAGATGCTTTAAAAATCTGAAATCTCTATGAAATAAGAATTTGTTCTGATTCAGGGTATACAGCAGACTCTTTGGAGCAAAAATGATTCCCTTGGTCTGTCTGGCAACTTAAAAGCATACTTGCTGCCTTCTACCTAGGAAATCATGTCTTAGGGATTTAAAAATTGTGGTGCTCAAGTAATTACAGTACACATGACCTAATAAGATCACCAACTTTCAGCAGAATCTTCAACCCTAGTTCGAGCAAGTACTCCCTTGTGTCTAACTAAAGGTGGCAAAACTACTTGCTGGAAAAAGGTTTGTAGCATTGTGATCTTAAATATATATTCAATTGCAGATGTTACAAGTATTCATACAACAAGAAAATGTAGCTGATGAACCTAAGATGAACCAGCTGAACCTAAGTATCATAAGGGAATTCTTTTGTTAGCTTCTTTGTAATGTAGATGTTGCTTTTTAGTGAGCCTGGTTTTTTTAATGTTATGCTAGTGAGTGTCCTGTGTTTAGCTAGCAGCTAGCAGCCGAAACCTTGCCAAATTTCTGTTGGTGTAACTTCTCAGTGTAGTAGGTTACGATATAATTATATAGCCGACAGCTTATTGTAATTTCTTTATGTTCTCTCTCACGTTCCTGCCATCTTGTCTTGGGATCAGAAGGACAGAAGAATTCAGAGGAAGAGTTCGAGAATAGCGAAATAATGACAGCAGAATTAATGGAAACAAGTGTTTCTTCAGGGTCATCAGTTAACCAGTTCCTACGATGGTGCCAAGAATATGCTGCTATTTTAGGCACTGTCTTTCAGAAGAGCTGTAATTTTCTTATGGCTAGTAATCTCCTGTTAGTATCAGTGTTAACCCTACTGGCTCAGTTCAATTCTTCCTTGTAACTTCAGTCCAGTTATATTAATTCCTACAAAAGATTAAATGGGATGTGCATTTAGTGAACTGTTGTATAATGGTGCTATGCATTGTTTAATATAAAATACATCTCAATTCTACATAAGTGAACCATAACATGAAGAAATGCAACACTGGTAATACCTTTATAGTTAAAATTAACCTTTATCTGTGAATTCTACGATACACCTTTGCTTCTTTTAAATTGGAAATGAAATTACTAATAAAGTTTACATATATTCACTTATGTAGGCAATAAAAGGTGTTTCAAATTGACATAAGTTATGGATAAAATATGTGTCATATTTTATGTCCTAATTTTTAAGGAAATTTTTTTCTGAACTACTCAGAACGGACATTAGCAGAACAAAAAAAAGTAAACAGTCCCTGTGTACTGTTGTTATCCCACTTTGCCTCAAAACTAACAAAACTTGTCTTGTAGACTTGATTATAGGACAACATACGCTAGTGTAAAGTTTTATCCCTGAATAAAATTAATTTTTAAATCAAGAGAAGCTACAGGTAGACAATTACATATATACGAACACCTTCACTGGGGTTTTAACTCACTAATTCTAGGGGACGATGGAGAATGAAAAGTCACGGGACGCAGCAGTAATTCTTCAGTTCCACCTCAGCTGTAGCCCTGCTGAGACACTTCTGCCAGGGAGGTCACAGTAAAGCATACCTTAGATTTTTTTAAAATAGCTGGCGACAGTCACCCTCCACATTTATGAAGAGCATTGCTACCAATTCAGTAAGCTGAATGGCTGTATGGCTGCACTATGAGATAAGGACCCCAGACTCATGGATGCCGCTGGCATGCTGGGTCTCTACTCCACAACTACACCGCAGGTTGGAATCCAGCTTTGCATTGAGTTGGGGATAAAAATTAGCACCACCACAGCCCTGGAAGCGAGAGATCTGTGCCTCTCATTTATATAAACACTTTGTAAATTAGTAGGAATTCAATTAATGGATCAGCTCAATCATCCAGCTCTGACAAAAACCTGGAGTAAACGTTCATTAGGACCCCATCTATTTCAACAGAGCGTTTGGGGTTTTTTCAGTAAAATCCTTCGTGTGGTTTTTAGAACGACAACTTCCAAATCCTTTTATTCATGCAGGATAAATTCTCAATGGTATTTCATTAATTCATGCCTAAGAGCATTACTATCTCTTCTTACTGTATTATGTCATCATTAATCTCAACCGCTCCCCATCAAAGTTCCTGGCATGTGAAACGGATCACACCATGGTGCAGCCCGAGTGGTTATAAATGCTACTGAAAATCATACAAGCCTCAACTCAGCAGCAAGGAGATTTTAAAGGTGCATTCCATACAATGCACCAGCTCCTGAAGTCATCAGTCCAGGATCCCAGACGGGGCAAGTAACAGTTGCAGAAATAACATTCGGAATAGGTAGTTTTATCAAGAAAACTCTTCTACCGCAAAGTTCGTGTGATTCTTAACCATTTCTTCCTTGGATGCACACCTCCTTCTGTGTGTTGGAGTAGGAGCCCTGGCACAATGTAGACTCTGCGCTGCCAACCAGTTTAGAGTTTAAAGTTCAGACACAGCAAAGCTGAGCACAAAAACATCTTTGCACATTAAAAGGTCTGATTCACAAATAGGAAGCAGCAGGTTAGTATCTGTACAGGCTTTTCTAATGGAGAAGCAGGATCTCTGAATAAGCAGCATTGAATAGCTATCTGGAATAACTGTTCCAGTCCTCTTGTAGCATAAGAACTGCTTCAAAATAGCATAATGCTGCTGAACTGAATCAAGGCCTCCATGATTGCTTAAGAGAATGAGTCCCGAAGGTTAACGAGGTTTTCATGAAAATAATTCATTTTCATTCACTTTAAATGTACCACTTTGCTGCTTTTTTGCATTAGCAGGATAAATAGAAACTTCTTAGCTTGTATTCATTATTCCACTCATTGTTATAAATACTTCCCCTCCGTCTCCTATTACTTGACTCCTTTCTAAACAAACCCTTGTTTTCAGCCTCCTCCATTTCTCTAATCATCTAGTTGCCAGTCCACGGAATTACTTTTTGTCAGTATGCTTTAAGAGATAGGGCAAGAACAAACTTATGGGTGAATTGTTATTGTTGATTTGTGGATGGAATTGTATTTTCTATTCTGTGCTTCACACACACACACACACACACACACACCCCCGCCCCATGGTCTCACGTCATCTTTTTTTTTCACAGTATCCCTTCACAACACAATTTTTTCCACTAAGCTGATCATAGCAAGTAATGACCTAAATAGTTATGGTTAATTTAGAACCCTGCAAAGCCTACAAATACTTCCAATTATTCCCCTAAATGTGTGCCCAACCTTGTATTTGTCAGCATTGCATTTCATCTGCATCACACTGCCCATTTATTCACTTTGTTAACCCAGGTCATTCACAATCTTCCCTAGTTCTGATTAACTGAAATAATTCTCTGTTAACAGCAAACAGTGCCACCTTTCAGAGAGCATGTTCATCCCCTTTTCCAGATAGCACCAGTTTGAATACAGAGTGTTGGGGCACTCTACCATTAGCCTTTCGCCGTAATAAAAAAATTGACCATTTAATCCCGCTCTACCTCTTAGTTTCTAGTGCACAACTACTTTAGCTCTCACTTCCTCACTACTGGTTTGCTTTAATGGCTTCTTGGTAGGGATATTTTTACAAGGATTTTTTTTTCTTTCTTAAATCCAAATAAATTACATCAACCATTCCCTCCACTCTCAGCAGCTGCACGATTGACTTAATTTTACTATGTTAGAGGGGCACAATTTTCTTGCCGTAAGCATTTACATCTCTTTCAGCAATGTTTCCTCTGCACTATGTGCTTAAATGTGGAGCTGCTAGATGTCAGACCCCAAAAGCACTTAACTGTTCAAAGTGAAACTTAGGTGGAATTTAGGCACTGAAATCCCAAGGTACCTCAT